AACGTTATTACTGTTGGACTCTAACGAAACTTTTTACTTTCAGATTATCTCCTTTCTGACTACCAATGCCCACCCGGATATGCTTCGCCAGGTACGACCCCCTTACCCGTCTCTTTCTGGGTTGCAGCTATTTGGGTTTAAGTGAACAAAATTTACTAATCGCACGGGAGCGGGGACACTTTTTAAGCTATAGTCTCAATACCATAATCTCCAGTTGCAGGATTTAAATTGTTAAATGTGCGCATGACACCAGCCATCTTCGATACACGGACACCTGCTGTGCCCGAACATGTTGTAGATACCTCTTATTGACACATAATTATCATTTACAGCAGACTTCCATAGCGCGATAAGTCCTCCCTAGTGACGAACATCGAATAATGTAGGTCCAAAACAATGTCAGCATGAACCATGTCAAGCCAGATTTATAGGCGACTCCTTCGCCCAAAGTTAGGAAAAATTGTCGAATAAGGAAGATTAGCACTGAAATCCTAGGACGGATGCCGAGGAATGGGCTCAATTAATGGTCTGAAAAGTCCATATTACGTTGCGCGATCCTCTATACGCCTATTTAAGATGAAGTTGGTGAACTCAGCGGATGGTTCTCAGGTGACGATGGTCGACAATAGCCAGTGATAATACGAATATTTACTGCCTTCATAACGCCGACTGATCTGGCGGCCGCACTCCTCCGCGACACTTCATCCCGTAGGTCATAGTTAGCCCAACGTTCGCAGAACTAAATCTCCAGTTTAGTCAACGTCAGTCAACCGACAGCTGAGTGCACATTCGATGCCTTGAAATGGCTCAGAACCTTTCCAAGGGTTCGGCCAACGACACAGCTAAACAGGATGGGTAACAGAATACAAGCTTGTCGAACGTGAGGCCTGAGCTCAAACGGCTGAAAGAGCTTACAATGAAATGAAAGTCGTGCACTGATGGAGTAACAGGAAACCGAGCTCACAACTATCGCCTTAACCGAAACAACATCTAGTCTCATTATTCGCCACAGTGATCCACGATGTGCACTGCAGCAAATTCAACAAAATAGGTTGCCTACAACCATGAAATCATTCGGGAATACGCCGCAATGTGAATAGTAGGTTGATACGCAACTCTTTTGAGCCTGTCCTCGAGTCATCGAAACTGTCTGGGAATGAAAATACCAAAAACCTTTTGCCACGATATTTTTCTTTACTTCGGCTTATATCCATTCTAGATAGGCACGAGAATAGCTAAGCTTTAGTTACCATAAGTAATCTAATTTTTTCGTACTTATGCAAGCACTCTAACGTTGACAGATTTTCAGACTTCAGCGAATATATCTTACTTTCTGGACGGCGTCTTGTAGTGTGACCTCGGCTTTATATCGTTTATTTCTTTCCTCGGCAGGCCAAGGAACACTGCACAGGCGAAGAAGTGTAAAACCCCGCTGTAGAAATAAAGTTTGGTAGAATTCAGTGAGGTTGAGGAGGCACACGAGCGGATTGTGCCAGCGCTGGGTGTGTTTACTTCGTGCGTGCCCCTTTTTGTTTCCCATGTTACACACACTACACATTTCCGAATTGGTATTTTCTTTAACTCAAGAGGAAAGCACAGGTCGTGGCAAATTATCTGCCTTATGGATTAGATACATGGCGCTACATGGCGAACGCCGTTTTTGAAAAATGAACGTTATTACCGGTTCATTGTAAGGGTTAATCTCGAAAACCCAAAAATTAGAGTTCGTGTTGCACGGTCTCAGAAGCTCGGCTTTTAATTTGGTTTTCTTAACCGGACTATGCTGGGAAGGGGTCACCGCTTTTAGGGGTAGGGAACTGGCTTAATACAGGTGGCAAGGCGGACATCGTTTCCCGCCGAGTTTATTGCCTTTTTTCTAAATACGCTCTATTTCGACCATGCATGCTTTTTTCTCCTAGCCTTCTATTCTTCCACCAACACTAATCGATCAAGTGCGCCTGTGGGAGCTTGAGCGCGAGCGTCTTTTCGCTCAAGAGGGCTGTCTCTATGAGCAATTTGCCAAAAACAAGGACTTCGAGATGGTTCGCGATTTTGCAAAGGTAATGTTTTTAGAGGTGGAAGTGAGTTGTTTTAGTCCCTAAAAGTTACTAGGGAGATAGGTAACACTCTGTTGAGAGTGGCCATAATCCCAGAGTCCTTTGAACTGTCGTCGTCGTGAGCCAGTATTGGACTCTCAGCTGAAAAGATGCCCACTGACCGTTTTAATGGTGTCTTAAATACCACCGGACTCTGTGCCATCTCTTCTTAAGGATAACAGTCCACGTAGCCAAATACGAGCAGATTTATCCTACTTTATCCTAGTTATACTTGTTCTTGAGTAAGCAGTTTTGAAAATGTAAAAAGAAAGTAATATTGTTTATTACTACGCTGTGTTTTTACATCTGACCGAAATTCTGACCTATCGGTCACCGTCCCTGTTTTAGAGCCAAGGATTTCTTCTTTGGGAGTGTCCCGATAGACGACTTATGGTAGTCTCCAAAAACGGCCACGAGGATGTGCGAAAATTTTGGAGACAGAACCGTCCTTGATAATGCAGAGCCATGTACAGATTGCAGAAATAACATTTGCGTATTTCAAAAAAAATTATTTTTTCAACCTCGCTGTACAAAACGCAGTACACCTCCGTTCTTCAGGTTCTCTTGGTCTTTTATGGGTTTGTCCTTATCTATTAGTGGATTAGTTGAGTTGGTCGAAACAAGCCCCAAAGCTCGAGTTCGCCAGAACCGTTTCCAATTTAACTTTTTTGACTCCAGCGGAGGTGGATAGGCAAATGCGTTGACTACGGAGTTCACTTTTGGCAAATCCTCAAGTTTGTGTTTGTGACTTTTTTTCTTCTTTTTCTTTTTGTGATGAGACGTGCTACTTGTCGAATCCTGTTTCGAAAGACGGCTGGTACGCAGATGTTCAATGTAATCGTTTGTGGCGTCGACTACGGCCTTGTAGATGTCACCTATCCGGCCGTCGGAACGCACAACTATTGGCAGTTGAACTCCGTCAGCTCTTTGGAGGATTAGCCGGATGGCCTGTCAGACAAAAATAGAAACGTTCGTGTATGGATACAGTGAAGCTAACCAAACCCGGCGTACACGACAGTTTATAGGTCAAAGTTGTCACTAGCATAGGATTTTGTTCATGTAGGCATGCAGAGGACCAATAGCATACTGTAGAAGATATACATAACCATTAATATTCAAGAAAGCCCAATTGGCAATCAAAATACATCGAGTGGTAAGACGAAGGAGTGTTTTTGGCAAAATCAGATATGCCTATCTAGTAAGGTCGTGCCTACTGATAATGTCCGCGGTCGGTTTATGTTGCATAGTCAAGGTTTCGGTTAGATTTTATAGGTGTCGTATGTATGCAGGAGCGGTTCTGCATAAGTGCCAGGGCTGGCATCAGGGAGGTAACGGTGCATATGCAGGCGTCACTTGGTTAAAAAAAACTGGCACTCCTAGCATTTACGGTGTTCGCCCGTAAGAATAGATTAAGATGAACTTGGTTTTGGGACAACGGGCCTTACTTGTCCATGGTGGAGAGCAAGCGCGTCCTTTACTTGCTGCTCTGTAGGGTTCGCTGAGGAGGATTTTGGTAGTACGTCTTCAAGAAACCGGTCATTTCGCAGGAGCTTCCGCAGTCTATCGTTAATGTGTTCTTGAAAATCATGAAATCCCTCGATAAAATGATCTGCCTCTTCAC